TTGCTGGGGCCTTATTTGGATCAAGAATTGCTCTGATGAGAAGATGGCCAATCAAATCAAGCCCTTCCATGTCATATGTCAGTGGTGGAATGAACCTTGAAGGTCATCTGAATGGATCCCTTGCCAAGGAGAAAGTGAGCCCAAAGAGGACAGGGATGTGAGGACAAGAATCCAAGCCCCTGTTCTTTTCCAAGCTACGGAGTGTGCAATGCCTCTATCCTGAGCTGGGCCACCACCTAGGTGCCAGCCTTGTAGCTTGATCCCATGACTCCCCAGAGCGGCCTCTGTCTGCTCCTAGGCTGCAGCCTCAGCCCTCTGTGCTTGGATAGCAGAAGTCATCTTCTTGCCCTCCGTTCAGGCTGATAGACCTCTGAGTATCTCAGGGTGTTTTCATTCCCCTTCTCATCTTACCTCCTTCTCTCTGTCCACCCCAACCAGGGCCATGGAAGGTCGAAGAAAAGGCTGGTACAGCCCATGGAAGACCTCTCAGAACAGCATGTGAGTAGACACTCTGTGGTACTATACCCCTTCCCACACACACATCTTCTCTCCAGACACTCACTCATGCATCCATCAAGTGCTTGTTGAGAATCTGTTTTGTGCTCGTTTTGTACACCAGACTCCCATGGCAAATATTTCTTGGAATGGGCATCACCACTCCCCTAAAGGAATTCTCCTACCACAAGGGAAACTGAGAGTCCCATCCAGAGACTCGGTGTGGCTGCTATCAGATTTGACAGAGGGTATTCATGGAAGGTTTCCTGGAGGAAATTAAGTATGGACTGACTAACAGATGGCTAATCATTTTGGAGAAGGGAGTCGCAAGCGTGTTCATAGTGAGAGGACCGTGAGTAAAGGCCGAGAGATGTCCTTTCTCCTTGTGGGGATGTGGTGGCACCACACAGGCTCTGGCAAGGGACTGACAACTGCTAGGTCTTTCCTGACTCAACTTCCAAACCTTGCCCACATTCTGTATCTTGAAATGTCTCTGATTTTGCTCAGGATTGGGTCTGAACTTTGCCCCAGTGCAAGGTGGACAAGGATGCTGACTGCCCCAGACGACTACTGCATACTGCTAGGGAAGGGGTGTGTGTGTGTGTGTGTGTGTGTGTGTGTGTGTGTGTGTGTGTGTGTGTGTGTGTGTGTGTGTG